AGAAGGAGTCATCAGGGGAAGGTTTGTCCTGGCCTGACTGAAGAACCTGGTCTAGAGTTCAGGCAACTGATATGCAGACTTCCAGGTAATTCACCAGTACACGAGGGAAAAGTTTTTGCTGATTTCATGTTTTCCTGGCATATATTCCCATTCAACTGGGGACATATTTCCTGCTCTCGTATCAACCCTCAATATTTGAGGTGACACCTTAGGAATCCACCTACAGTTTGTTGCTCCTTTTGATCATACACTTCTCATGGAAATGGGAGGGAAAAGGAGAAAACCTGGGAGGAACCAGAGTGGGAATCAGGGGGAGTATATTAGCATTTGCTGAGCTGGGCACAAGAATCACTCAGGAAATTAAAAGCAGGATGATATTTTGAGGTGATAAAACATTAAAATATGAAACTTGCATTTGACTCAGATCCAGCCTCAATTTTTCCTTTTTAAGCTGCAGTTTAGGAAAAGCTGAACAGTTGCCAGTGACAAATGCAGGCTCTGGACTCTTGCAAAAAGGAGAAAGAATTAAATTATGTTAGTTAGTCATGAAAAGACATGAGAAATGCAGAAAGAGGACAAAGGAAAAAGGTAACCATGAAGGTGAAACAAAAAGGTACAAGAGTTTCCTTACACAATGTAATAATTAAGGCAATGCAGTGATTTTCAGGGCGACTCTAAGCTCACTCAAAGTCTGGCCAAAGAGGTCAGGCAAGGTCTGTGCCCTGGGGCCTTCTGACACAATGCAGGGGGGTGGTGGTGGTGTATACCAGTGCCCTGCTCTTGGATGAAGCCTCAGTTTTCCATTGGCAAAGTTATAAACCTTTTGTTCTGTTGGGTTTTTGTTTGGCTGTTATTATTTTCCTATGTTTGGAAATACACCCAAAGAGGGTGTAAAGCCTGCTGCAAAGGCAGCATTTATTTGATAAATCAGATACCCTAAATGCAATGTAACATAAAAGCCTCGTGTGGTTGGTTTGAGCTGATTTTCCTGCTCTCTGTGTGTGAATGCGGTTCAGTGGCAAGAAACAGTGTCAGCTCTCCTTACACAAACTGAGAGTGGCACCCAGCATTCCCCCATGCCCAAGCTCTGTGGTCCCTCTCCTGCAGGGGCCGATCCCTCTCTGCTGGGGCATCATCCCTGTCCTGTTTGTTTTCGTTCATCCAGCCTCTTGAGCAGAATGATCCCCCGAGCAGGCACTGATTCAATCACTGATTTTCTCTCATTCCCTTTCACAGCTGTTATTGGAGGTACAGCTGTCACTACATCCATTCAGGGGAAAGAGATGATCAAAGAGGAAAAGACAGGAAAACACCATTTAAGAAATAAATGCAAAGTTATGATGCCTCTGTTTGCCTGAGAAAGAGAGATTTTTATGCAGCTTTTGGCATTTACAAATCCTTTGTGAAAAGGTCACCCTGTAGTTGGAATCTTATTAATACAGAAGAACGGCCCAGAAAATGTCATGTCTTTTTACCCTGATATTTACCCAGGAAGCAGTGACTCAGCACGCAGGGCTCCTCTGGCAGGGTGGCACAGACGAGCGGGACACGCGGGGCTGGCCGGAGGTGGCGGTGCCACCGCTGCCGGTGACCCTGGCAGCAAAGGTCCACGTGTGCACACCCTGCAGCTCTCTGACTGCAGAGGGCAGCCCATTAACTGCCCGCCCTATGGCATATGTGTACCCAAACAAAAAGAAAAAAAAAGTGCATAACTGTTCTAGAAACATACACACATTTTATAGGGGTGTGGGTATAATCACATCCAGCAGGACGTGGGGATGGAGTTTTGGCAAATAAAGGCTCAGAGCTCTCAGGGCTCAGGCTGTGAGGGCAGTGTGAGATGCTGCAAGAGGAAGGCAGAGTGCACAATGAAAAAGACACAATAAATGCTTTTCCTCTGGAAAACCACCAAGAAAAAGTTGAAGTTTGTCTGTCATCTGCAGTTTATATTTCAATCTTTAATCTACTGCTTTTAGTTATGTTTGTGCTCACTTCCTTCAAGGGAATTTTCTTTCCGTTTGCCTTAGTGGTGACTCATGTTACCTTTAATATGTTTTGGCAGAACTGAGGTATTTATTTTAGCAGAGCAGTGAAAACAGTTCTGAGCGTGGTGGCGATGGCTGCGGCTCCTGCCGTGTCACTGAGTGGGCAATGCCCTGGCTCAGGCTGACCCGGCGAGCTCCGAGCACACAATCAATCATCATCACACCTCACCTTGTGCACAATTTCTTCATTTTTAATAACTGGCACAGTGAAACATTTTGCCAGTTCTGACACATCGCAGACTGACGCTGAATGGAGCTGTCTCGTTTACCATTTTCTGACCCATTATAATGTTTTCATTTTACTTTTCTCTTTACTGGACCTGCAAGAGCTCAAGGTGGTGTTTATAACAGAGAACAACTGTGATACACCACCTCTGACTGGGGAAGTTCTCAGCCTCAGTGCTTCTTTCATTTTTATTTCCCGTGGGATTTAAGGTTCCTGCTGCCCTGTCCTTTGACCCAAACATTGCTTTCCTCTCAGGACAGATCTAGCATGAACGTTCATGAAAGGACACACATTGTCTCTTGGTTATTCATGCATCACTGCTCACTCACAAGCTGAGTGAATTCTGCAAAGTTGTGGGCGGAAGGTCTCTGGTGCTCACCTCCACAGCCAGCATCATGCCAGTGAAAGATTTTACAGGAATGGAATTGCATTCCAAGATTAAATACCCCCAGTCTGGGGTTTTAGAACCACACCCAATTCTTTAACAGCATTTCCCTTCCACTGCAGTGATACAGCCTGAGTCCCACATTACTCCTCCCTTACCCCTTTTCACCCAGCCCACCTCAGGTGTCTCTCACCATCACCCTCCTGGTCCTCAGGCCCTGTTGCTCACTGCGGAATTGCTGTCACTGCTGCTGCCACTCATGATTGAAAGCACAAAGGAGAATTGACAGACAGCAAACAAACCAATGGCTTCTGAATCCAGCTCCAGAGCCCCAAGTGAAGGTCACCCACACCTCTGTGTGGGAGCTGTTAGTGTTCATATTTGTAAAGCCTTTTGTGAGCACTGTAATGATGAATGGTGATGGCTCATGTTTGTGTGCCTGTGTATACACACACACAGACCCCCCCATGTTGGAACACTATGCCAAAGAAATTATGTTTCACATAATTTCTAGTGTCATCTTTGATTAATTTGCGTTTATTTTCCCATTATGACTCATCCCTCATTTCAAAGGTGTCCTTCAAACCAGAACATGGGAAGAGGACCAAGAAGTGACAGACAGCAAGGAATAATCTTAAGGCAAAGCCCAGGAAAGCCATTCCCACTGCCACATCTCTGGTTTAGCACTCCCACCCCACTTCCCACAGACAGTTTCCTCTTTGGAGAATTTGTTTTCCCAGAACTGATTCATTGTGTCCCAAGGGCCACAGATTCCCCTGTCACCCTTATCAGTCAAGGAACAAAGAAATGCCTAAATCAGTGAGATGAGCCATGGGACATTTGACAGCTACACAGAGTCACAATATGCAGAAATACGAACAGCCCAGTGCCATTTATCCACCTTGTCAGCATGCCCCTGCCCCACTGCGATGTGTCTGGGCCACTCTGTGTTGAAGAAGTGAGTCCCTTATTGCCACAGCTCAGTCCTAACTGGCTGCAGGCCCTGTCCCCAGCGCTGTGACCCTTGCTCTCCCCCTGCCGAGGGTGGCCACCCTGCAGGGGCACCGAGGACACCTCTGCCATTGTGGAGTAAATCACAGCTCCACTGGCTGCAGTATTGTTGTTAAAATAGCTTGAGAACATCATAAACAGAACTCGTCTGGGGAGATATTTCATCTCAAGCTTTGATGACGAGGTCAGCACTGCTCAAACACATCCTTCAGCTACAGGTCAGCCCTCTCTGCACATCTATTTTGAGATCTCCATACCCCATTTGCTAACCCCTGAAACAGTCACAAGACCCTCTGGACTCCTGTCTCTCCCTAAAAACCTCCCCAAACCTGTTGTCTCTGGAGGCACAAGTGGCTGCTCAGAAAACGTGAGCTCACCTTTCTGCTCACGTGTGAACTGTACAACATAGACACAGTTTGTTCTTTGCCTAATACAGAATTGAACGTTATGCAACTCACTGAGTGATGTGTTTTGTCCCACGAGAGATTTGCTTCAGAAATACAAAGACAGAAAAATACTCAACTGTCATTATCATGCCAGTTTTTAATCAGCTGGGAAATGCTGCTCCTTCCCCCAAAAGAGCAGGCTGGATAGAAACAATGTTCTACCTCTGCCTCCCCCAACACTGCTTCCTTTTCCCACAGAAATTTTCCATTTTAATTAGATTCCTTTATTACCACCCTCTTTTCTATCATATCTTGTCTTGCTGTTAAACTTTTTTCCCTCTACATATCTATTTTTCATTTTCTTCAATTGCCAAGAGCTACAGCATGTGTCCGTGTGCATGTGCTGGGGGAAGGAGAAGAAAGAGATAAGAAAGGAATAAAAAGAGAGAAAAGATGGAGAAAATGAATCTGATAATTGTTGGAAAGAATTGTTGCCAGCAGCAAAAGTGCTGAAAAGACACTTTCATGAAACCAGAAAGTTTTCCTATTTTGCCAGGATGGAGGTGGCACCCACAGGCCCTTCCCCACCCTGGCTGCACCCCAAAAGTGCAAGGGGCAGGGAAGCCCTGAAGCCTCTGCTCTGCCTTAAGGACTTTATGCAGAGAGCAAACCAAGCAGAAATAAGTAATCTCGGGTTTCTAAGCCACTCCAGCTCACTGACAGCTCTGGCCCACCATTCTGAGGAGGGGGATGCCCAAGAGCAGTGTGCTCATGGCCCCAGAGCTGTGAGGTACTGTGGGAAGTGCTGATTTGTGTCTTTCCTTGATGCATGTTAAAGCTTACATTTGCATTCCAACTCCAATGAAAAATTTATGACTGTTAAACTTCTGTATGTCATAATTAAACACAAACAATAATTTCCAAATAACTGTTTACCATGCTGCATATTCAATTGTGCAATCAATCTCAGTGACTCTTTTTCCTTGCAGATGAAGGGAGGCGGGCTGTACCCGCCACACGCGCTCACACCCAGCCCGTGGAAGATGAAGAGTCAATCTGACATTTCAGGAGAGAGCAGTTACCTGTGGAATAAATAGATTGAAGCCCTGTCATTCCCAAATAGATGCCACCTCCTCCTGCTATTTGTTTGGAGGAAGCCTCCCAGAGAGATGGATGGGATGCCTGCTGTTCAAACATTAATCTTAATGCAGAGAGAGAGGGAAGCAGCTGCTTGCAGAGCTCTGCCAAGGGACCTGAGACCTGCAGGGAATGCGTGTGAGGTGGTCCCAGCCCTGCCCCAGGGATGGCCCCACAGCCAGGACCTGCTCTGGGAGGGGACAGGGACCAAGTGACCAACAGAGACCCCCCCATGCTTGTGACAAGCTCTAGCAACAAGCAGGCAAGGGGATGAGCAGGGAAAGCTCCACTGAAAACTGGCAGAGGAAAAAGACCTTGGCCTGAGGGTAAGGTCCTGCCAATGGCCCCGTCCCTGGGCATTCCCATCCTTGCCAGCTCAGGTGGCTTTGCTGGCAGTGCCCAGGTGGCCAGGGAGGACCAGGGCAGCTGTGGGAGCTGAGGAGGTGGCTCATGCTGAGTCAGTGGCACTGAGGTACTGCTGGGGTTCAGAGCAGCCTGCTTCCTTCGTGGCATAAAACCTGCACTGCTGACCTGCCAGTGGGTGCCAATTGGTGATGGCTTCACAGGGAACTGCATTTGTCCTGGAAACAAGGAGAATAAAAGATATAATGGAGTTCAGTGATGCAATACAAATAACAGTGTCCTTTTACATTACTAACAACACATACTATGCTGTCTGGCTCCCTGTTCTCCTGAGGACACCACTAGGAAGCTCTCTGTAAATAGGATGTCTCAGTCAATGTGCTCTCCCAAAGACTGCATTAATCACCCTTTGTGAATGCAGTCTCGGGGGGCAAGGACCGTGCTGGGTGGGAGGAAGACATCCCTCCTCATGTGAGCTGTGTGGGGACTGCCCACAAGCCACCCCTCCTCCAGGGCTGAGGCCCAGAGCAGAGATGCCAGCTGTGGCAGGGACCCCACCGCAGGAGAGCCGGTGCCAGGGCAGCACAGGGGCTCACACAGGGCCACGAACCCCGGGGGCTTGCAGAGGCTGTGAAGGGCAGGAGGGGATGGAGGACACCTCCTTGGCAGCCCCTGAGCTCTGCTGCCTCGATGAGCAGGTGTCAGGGAGTCTGGAGAGTACTTGTTAGCTCAAGAGCCTTCTAACTGGTTATGAAGGGTTTATTCTCTAGATTGTGGGTTTACATTGCCCCCAGGCCGGTTCTAGTGACTGGAAGCTATTTCCACCCAGAGCGTTTGTAAAGTTGAATATTGTCCCAGACTGGGTCCCTTTCTGTAACTGCAGCCCCTGCTCATGCAGAGGAGGACAGGGCTGGCAGCATGTGGACCCTGCTCTGTCCCCCTGCCAGCAGGGCCAGGTGTGCCCCATGCAGCATCTCCCAGTGAGCTCCTGTGTGCTCAGCTCATGCCACGGCCAGAAGATTTCAGCTCTCTGGGCTGTCAGCTTGCTGGCTGCCATAAGGCCTGATTCCCTAATTAAATTAAATTCTTTAGTGGTATTTAATGTTGCATATGCAACATTAATTTTTGTGCTAGCATGATCAGTGCCATATTCACACTTGTTTATTCTCAGGGTGTTAACGCAAATCCTGCTGTAAACACATTTTCACAGGTCAAAAGCAAAGCATAAAAATCAACAAAAATATTTTCATCATTAGTTTACCAGTTCTACAGTAAATGTGATGAGAGAAAGAATGTCTTGAGAGCAGGAGAGGCTGTTGGAGGGAGAGGCTGCTGCTCTGAGACTTGTCATCCCACAGGGGAGCTGCTCTCACAGCCACATCCAGCAGCAAACCCTACCTGGGAGTTTAACTAACCCCAGAACATTTTGTCTTCCCTTCTGGCTGAGCCCCATGTCCTACCTAGGCAGGAGGTTATACATGGGGTGAAAAGCTTAAGAAAAAGGCTCTGAAAGGCACAGAACCCTCGCTTTGGATTGCACAGATTCAAAGTGCTCCCACTGGGACCTCAAAACTGTGTCAAACAAATGCAACTCATTGTCTCTTTCCCTGCCTTCAGTCCCTAACAAAGCTGTTTCCATTGCTGGGGATCCCCTGGAGAAGGGTTAGCATCCTAAGCAGCCCTTGTAAGCAGAACCAAATTAGGGAAGCGAGCAGACAACAGAGCAGAGCAAACAGATTTCATTTTCTGTCAATCAGCAGGTTCTGTTAGCTTCACAGACAGGTCTCTATCACAGCCATGGCCTGTCTGTGGTCAGAGTGCACCCAGCAGATTGAAATGGAAATGCCTGCTGAGGGCTGATGCTGTTATTGAGGGAGCTCAATCCCCAGCTGAGCCAGGGCTGCTGCAATTACAGACATCCCTACCAAATCCTGCAGGCAAAGCTCTCTGCAGGGCTCACCTGGTTCACAAATAGCTTCAACACATACCTCTGATGTGCATCCAGGTGAGATCAAACTGCTGCTGAAAAGGTTCTTTGTGGCCTGCTCCTCCACACACTGCTGCAAACCCCTTTTACCCACCAAACTCTTTTCCAGCACCTGTAACACATCATGGACAAACTGCTTAATCACCACAGCAGGGACTCACCCAGCCCTGGCAGTGGTGGCACACAGACCCCAGTCACCTGAACAGCCCTCACAGCTACAGAGGAAGCACCATCAGGAGGTGAGGGAAAGAAAATTTACCTTGTAATTGCTAACAAGCCCCATATTTCCTTTCTAGCACATAAACAAGGGAATTTGGCTCTCTCGCTGCATTAATGCCACTTGTGAAAACTAACTTGGGAGGCTGGATGTTTTTTCCAGGCTAAGGAGATGTTCCAATTACCACTAAATTGCCAGCACTTGGAACAACACTGCATATTAATTCAAAGCAAGAGAATGTTCATTGAATTACCCAGAAGAGTAAACAGCTTTTTGTGGGCTGTGTAAATAATCCCAGGGTAACGAAGAAATTGGGAAAAGAGATTTTAAAAACGAATTTGCCTGGGCAGAGAAAAAAAATTCCAAAGGAAGTGAGTAAAAGAAAGGGTTATCAGTGAAATGGTTATTGTGGTTGTTACAAGCTGGGTCATGTATTTGTGACTGGAAGGAGCAGCCCCAGCCTGCCCATCACACCCGCACTGCACAGAGACCTTCCAGGGACAGGAGCACATGAGCAGCCCAACCCCTGCCCCACAGCCCCTGTGGCTCCTCAGGCTCCCCACGGCAGGAGAAACAAGGACCAATGCTGTGGGAGCAGGAAGGGGATTCAGGGGTTGCTGTTCCTCCCACCTGAACCAAACTCCGATGCCTCTCCAGCTCAGTGTCCACCCAGCCACCACCAACGAACAAAGGTTTAATCAATACACCTGGCTTCAGGGGGTTTTCCACCATTTTTTTTTCCAACTCAGCTCCCTCATCACTGAGCTAATGCACTAATGGACACTCACCATTACCTAACTTCCGACCTAATGGGCACAGCAAATAAGTGAAAGGCTCATAAAATCAAATTTACTGAGCATCATTCCTTTTGCTGTCCATTAACTGAAACTATTTATCAGGTTAAGCAGATCCAGGGTATGGAGCTATATCCATCTTGTATAAATGCTGTTACGTGGACATTTCAGGATCCCAGGCTCTCCAGCAATTGCAGGGAAGTGTTGTGAGGCCAAGCTCTCGCTCCTGGCAGTGATTTCAGCAGTTTGAGGGGTGCACCAGCCCTGTGAGATGGGTGGGGTTTTTTTCTTAAGGCATCAAGGAGCTCCAGTCAACTGGCGGCTGCAACATCCCCAGAACAGGAAAGTGCTGTTAACCTTGATGACAGTGTCTGGTTTGGAAATACCAAAACTACAGACAGATTAGACGAACTTTAAAAATATTTAAAGGGTTTTCCCTTGCTAAGTTACTTTTTTCCTTCCTAAACTCTCAAGGCCCCAGTAAAGCCAGTCAATATGCCATTACAATCATTTGGGGACCAGTAAAGCTTTGAAAAATAGCATATGCACTGTGGATATAAGGAAACCATCTGAACCACAGAAAGCCTTGAAGATACCTTTGAAATGCATTTTTATTTCTCAATAATTTCTTGAGAACCATTAAAAGAAATGAAAACTCTGCACCCTGGACACACACAGGGTGGTAAAGCACTGTGAGGGGAAAAAAAATATTACTCAGTACTTTGGAAAGGATCTCAGGAGTGTCCCCCAAGCACTGTTTTGCTAGCAGAGGAGACAGCTGCAGCTCTCCTGTTCCCAAGTCTGTAACCCCATCGCCACCCCAGAGCCTCACCCTGCACCTTTGGGGTGCTGCTGGTCCCTGCTGCCACCACAAAGCTCAAGCACCTGCTTGGGGTGGTGGTTTCCTGCTTGAAATCGGGTTTGGTCCCCAGAAATCCAGTCCTTCCTTTCTCCTACTAACCATCCATTTGACTATTTTCTAAAACAAAACAGCAGCTTCATTGCATCCAAGTAATGACATTTCAGGCTTGAAAGCCATGCTATGCACACAATTCAATGAATCAAACAGCCTCTAATGTCCCCTGACCTACTTCTCAGATCCTTCATTGTATCTGTTTAAGATAAAACCCTTGCCAGGATTAAAGCATTCATGGCATATGTCCAAAGGGCAGAAAAGGCCATGCTGCAACCACAAACCAAAGAAACTGCTCATGGCAGTTTCTGTGTTATGTTTTACCTTCAGGACAGGAAAAAACTTATTTAAACTGTGAATTATCACACCTGTGGGAAGAGCTGGAGCCTCTCATTGCAGAGTGGTGCCTCCCGAGCCAAACCCAGCCTCTGAATGGACCTTTCTTCCTGTAAGGTGAGAACAAGACATCGACAGAAATTAGGATCTGTTTTTCCTCTTAAAATACCTTGATTTTCTTCAGTATTTATGCTATAAATGGGAATTAAGTGGTAAAGGATTTGAAGCCATTAAACACTGAAATTCCTGGTTTTCCATTTTCTCAGCTGTGGGTTAATTTGGTCTCCAGGACGGGTGGCACTATGCAGTGCAGTACCAAATGCATTTGGAACATTTCTCAAGCACTCCCAGCTGGCAGGAGAGTGAGCTTGGTTCTGAAGGCCACAGTGGTACCAGCTGTGAGCAGGACCCAGACCCTGGAGAAGTGACAGGGATGCACAGTCAGTCTCCCCTGTGAGACACTCTGTCAGCAATGGGAACGAATTCTGAGTGGGACTCCCCCTTTTCTGTGAGTCCCCCTCTGTGCCCTAAGAGTGTCAGAGGACAAACTGAAGCCAAGCCGGGTGTCCCAGTGAAATGAGGGCAGGGTGACGCTGTGACCTGAGCCATGGCAGTGCCCAGGGTGGTGCCCCAGCCCCAGCAGAGCCGGGCAGTGCCAGCCCAGCACACCGGCCCCAGAGCTGCCCAGGCTCCGTGTGGATCCCAGGCTGGCTGTGCTGCAGCTGGGCACCTGGGTCAATGACAGAGAAGTGAGGAGCAAGAGTACGCTGTGAGCTGGTTTCAGCTAATTTAGCAGATGATGTCAGCTGTGCAGGCTCAGGCTATTTCCATTCCCCCCATTAACCTCAGCCCTGACAGATTGTGCTGCTGCACTTCAGGGACCATTCATCAATCCCCAACTCCCAGTGACACTGCTCCCACTTCACTGATGGTGACTGAAGAAAAATTCCATTGTTTCTGTAGGATCAGGCCTCCAGGAACCCATGGTGCTGCTGGAAAGGGGGATTCAGACACTGGTGCTTGGCCCTTTCAGTTGGGTCAGTACCTGAACCAATGCCTGCTGCGAGTGGACACCAGGCACTTGGGAAGGCCTCGTGCAGATGAGCTGAAAAACTGCTGTCTCAAGTCACCAGGGTCTGTGAGAACTTGACTATTTGTGTATCACTTTTTTTGTCAGAGATGGGCAACTCTAAGTCCTAGAGTTCTACTTAAAATCTTGCCACCTTCTTTCATACTGAATTTCTGTTCTAGCAGGAATAGGGCTTTCAGTCAGAACCCCCTGTACTGTCAGTGAAAGATTACATGAGATATGTGATGTGGCACAAATCTTTCTGATTTTTCAGAGGACGTTTCATTATTTCAATTTTCTCACATTCTGGAGAGGGAAAAGAACTCCCATACAAGGAGTCGCCTGGAAGAGGGAAAATTTTGGTTACTTCAAAGGCTCTGTTTGAACAAAATATAATTTCACTTGAGCCTGACTTGTGGAAAATGTCAGAAAACTGAAACATTCAATTCTGAAAACACAAACAGGCACTCCTCCTTGAGCATCCTGGAATGAGGCTGGAATGCTGGCCCCTTCCCAAAGTGTTTTTTTCTTTCCAAGTTCTCCCTGGAATACACGTTTTGTTGGAACTCTGTGGCCTCCAACACCTGCAGTTACAATGATGCCATGGTTAAGGGCTGTGTTCCACAGGAAGTCAGCCCATCCAGATCTGGGCAAATCAGCCCTTATTACTTATTTATGAGAGTTAATTTCATGTGCTGGCATTTCACACGCCATATGGAGGAGCGGCTGCCCGAGCCAAGCTGCAGGCAGCTCTCAGCTGCCTTTTTTTTGTTGTTGTTTTAAATACCACTGCTCGTGACTGAAGCAAGGTTAATCACTGCTTTTACTAAGAAAAATTACTTCTTGAGAAACCCCAAATCCTCACCTCCCAGGCGTGATTATGCCACAGAGAGCTGGTGTGCCCCAGCCAGGGCTCCAGCTGCCTGGTGCCTCAGGATTCACAAACAGATTGGCTTGGCAGGTACAGTTAAAGATAATCAGATGTTGGGAATGTGCAGCCACGTCTATTAATTTTCACAAGCACCAGTTCCTCCTGGTATTTGCTCATCTGACGGTGACTGACAGGGGAACAGTCCAGGGTGATTTGCCATCACAGCCTGTGTGCTGCACACCCGGCAGCTCGGTCCTGCTGCTGTGTTCTGTGCCTCCACCATCACTGAGAAACCTTTCCTCACCAGTATCTTCTGTTAAATCTGGAGTCTTTGTCACTTTTGGGAAGCTTTTTGTAAGGGTATCAAGGCCCAGGTTTGACCAGAAAGTCTTATTGTGTAAACAAAACTAAACCTGTGCAGACTGGGGATTTGCATTGCTTCAGCTGCCCGATAAGCTGATCCCTGACATCCATCCAGACAAAAATATACATCCAAAAATATACAGCTATTTTCAGTATTAGCTCTTTTCAGATGAGGTATGTCTCCAAAGATGGTACTGAGATAGATTCACAGGAAGGTTGTGGCACTTTTGGTATTTGCAGTATGAGAATGACATTTATGATAAGAAAAATGGAAGACATGTGGAGCAGTAATGATGGCAATAACACTTCACTGGGGACAGAGAAATTATATAAGGAAATGAAAGCCAAAATGGAGGGATGGCAGGAAGGGGACCACGGCAGTTGGGAAGCAGAGGAGCAGCTTTTGTCTGGGGTGGGATGAGCAAGAGAACAGCCCTGGCTGTCTGGCACTAGTGGGACCTGAAGGAGCCCCGAGCGAGCCCCCACGGTCTGAGCACGTGGGTACAATAATCACAGCCACCTGGTTCCCCATGCATCCTTCCTCACCACAGCACCAATTCCCTCTCCTTTTCCCCACATAAATCTCTTTCCTCCTGGAGATTTCCATGGCTAGTGGATCCTACACAAACCTGTTTGTTTTCTTCATTTATGAGGCATCTTTGATCTATCTGAGAAATGCTACAAACACTGTAATAGAAAACTGTTCTCATTACAGTCTGAAATTAAAATTTACTAGAAGATGCACAAAGCAGAATAAACTTTCAATTAAAATCTAAACACTGTACTGAGAAAGAAAACTGGAGGGAGCTCCTAGGTTTCTTTGCATTGAAAATGCTCGAGATTTAATTTCCCTGTGACATCTCCTTGGAATTACACTGCTAATTGATCAAATTTTGTCTGTCTGTTATTTAAACTTTCAATAAAACTTAGATTAATGGAAGGTGTAATCCTCCCGGGCAGAACAAATATTCCCATTGTTCGTGCCAGGTATGGAATAGCAATGCCCCCACTAACATCTTCTGCATTCAGCCTGGGAACAAGAAGTTAATCATAAAAGTGTGGTGATTCCTTAATTGCTTCAATGAAATTTTCTCTGTGTGCCATTCTCCCCACCCCCAGTCTCTACAACTGCTGCTACCGATCTTTAAAACACACAGGCAGCATTTCCAGGCTGACTTGCTTTGTTCCTGATGGAAATGAAACCCCAACTTGCTCTACTCATGGTCTCCAAGAAGGACAGAAGCACCTTCAAAGAAAAAAAGCAAGCAACAGCTTTGTGGAATCACAGTTAATGAGGCTGGAAAGACACTTAGGACCCCCAAGTGGAACTGTTCCCCCAGCACTGCCAAGGCCACCACTAAACCCTGTCCCTAAGAACCACACCCGCATGTCTCCCAAATCTATCCAAGAATGGGACTCCACCACTGTCCTGGGCAACCTGCTCAGGGCTGGACACCC